GATAGCGAGCACAATGGCCAGGCCGCGGTGAGCCGGCGTGGCCCAGCGTGGTGGCCCCCTCACTGCCAGCCCCCACCTTCCCTGCCGCGGACGGACAGACACCCAGCCGACAGGCGCCCAGCCAACGGATGGCTTCAGGAGGGCATTTGGGGGGAAACTGAGGTAGGGAGTGAGCTGGCTGGGTTTGGGGCCACCAGGCCCAGGAGCTGCTCGGCACACAGGGGACATCACCCCCTGTCCCCAACAGAGCAGCCCCAGGCACCACCGGGGACCTCTCAGCATCTCACAGGGGAAGAGGGACGAGTCCCGCCAGGCTCAATCCCATACGCAACAAAGCACCCGACGACAGAGGATGAGACCTCTTGGAAGCCACCTCCAGGAAAAGTGGCATGGGGCAATGGCCCCAAGGGCTCTGCAGCCTTCTGGAAGGAGAACCTGAGATGTTTCCCAGCTGGATGGGGTGGGAAGCCTGTGCAACATTCGTGAGACCGTGGGTGGAGTATGCAAGGACAACAACGCCTCTCAATGCCAGCAGCCCCCAAGCAAGGCCCAGCCATGCCAGCCAGCACACAGGGCCAAACGATCACCAAGACGACGTGCCTCAGAGGGCCCTTTGGTTGCTGCGTCTCCAGACAAGCAAGGGACACGAAAGGGAAACAAGCCACAGGCTGCCGTGCAGAGCGCGGGGCAGCAGGCTGGGCTGCCACGGGGCTGTAGGTGGGACAACCAGACCCAGCACCAGCTCCTGGCGTTGAGCCTGTGTGCGGGGCTGGGTGCCTCACGTGTTGTCCCAAGAGTCAAAACCATGCCACGTTCAGGTCCCTATCCCCACGCAGTAGCCAGGCGGCTCTCATCAGGTCCTTCTCTTGGATTAAGACACCCACCGAGCCTCAATGAGTAACCACGGCAGCGTCTCCCCCCACCCCTGAGGGAGAGGCCCTACAACATGCTCACTGCCACAGGCACCATGACCCAAACATGGGGCTTGGGCAAGGGAAGGGGGGTAAAGGACAAGAACGGGCAAGAGATGGTGGTGCCCAGCTCGTATGCTGACAGACTGCACCTTCTCCTGCTCCCGGCCTGTGTCGGGGCCTCTGGGCAAGCTGAGCTGGGGCACTCAAGGAGCTCAAGAGCTGCAGGCATCACTACTTCCCCCAAAGTCTCTGCAATACGTAATCAGGTGTCTGGGGAAGACACAAGTGCCTCTGGCCAATGATGCACGGGGCTGTGGCGCTGGATGCAGAACCACGGGGGCAGAGCGTGGCAGACTTACCAGCAAGGGTCACCTCCTCAGATACACCAGGAGCGAGGAGGGGGCTCCTAATGGGTCTGGAAGGAGATGTCTGATACAGGTCACCTTCAGCACCTCTGCCCCTTCATTATTAGAGCTGGGCAACCAGCTCTAATGTGGACGCCCAGGATAAATCCCCCCTCATCCCACCATCACAGAATCACAGAATTGTTTGGATTGGAAGGGACTTTCACAGACCACCCAGTCCAACCCTACCGCCATGTGCAGGGACATCTTTCACTACATCAGGTTCCTCAAAGCCCCATCCAACCTGACCTTGAACCCCTGCAGCAATGGCAGCTTCTCTGGGTGACCCATTCAGCATCTCATCACCTTCATCATAAAACATTTGTTTCTCACGTCCAACCTAACTCTGCCCTCTTCCAGTTTAAAACCACCGCCCCTTGTCCTGTCACAAGAGGCCTTGGTGATAAGCCTCTTTCTGTGCGACTGACGTGAGCACGGCAGTGACCCTCACATCAGCGCTAGCTGGGACACCAAGGCACTTCATCAAGGCTTCTCCAGATGGAGGACAGCTCTGTTGAGCCAAATCCCAACTATTCATGGCCTTCGTGTGACCTACAGCGCTGGCGACAAACCCGGGGTGACCTGCCCAGGGCTGGCCACCAACCCCACGTCATCACCTGGGTTGCCGGGTCTGGTAGAGCCCAGAGGAGCCTGATCGGTGCAGGGACGTGCTGCTGCCTGCTCCAAGCAGCTGACCTGCCTCACCAGTCTTAGAGCCTCAGCCAGCCACCGCCGCACCGGGACACCGGCGGCAACCGGTTATTCGGGCTCTGTAGATGTGCAGATAAAGCTTAACGGCGGCAGAGGGATTTAGCCCTTTTTTTTATGCCACCATAAAGGTTTAATTCTATTTTTTTACTGCTTGATTTTAGATCAATGTTTAATCACAGCTGCGGCCCCTGTCTGGGCTCTCCGAAGACGCTCCTCTGGACACACTGGGCTGGCAGACCACCGTCACTGCCAGCTGCTCCTCTCCCGGGCAATGGCACAGCTCCCCGCAGAGGGGGACGATGCTTCCCAGCGCCCTATGAAGTTTTCAGCCCCATATAAAGGGCCACTGAACGGCCCCTCCTTTCACAGTATCCAGCACTATGGTGTGATGGTACCCCACCAGGACCAGCAGTCCACGGAGCTGCCGAGCTGGCAGCAGCTCTGTGTCCTGGCTGCCGCCACCACCACATGGGTCTCCACCACAAGGCAGGTGCCAGCGGTTGCCCTAGGGTTGGCCCATCACAATGCATCACCAAGACCGGTTGACATAAGGTGAGGTTTAACAACCCAGTCATTGCCCCAGCGTCCCTGTCCCAGCCACACAGGGCCACAATCACGTTCAACCCTACCAAGATCTACCAAGGTCAACACGGGGCGCAAGTGGATATCCTGAGAGAGGGGAGGATCTGCTCTGAAAAAGGGATAGTGATGCCCTGGAGTGACCCACATCTGCCCAGGCATCCATCCCTACCAGCACAACATCTCTTTTCAGCCTCAACACACCTATGGTTGTGCCCAGGAAGGATGGGGACCCATCTGTGCTGGGGCCCAACTCTATCACACGAAGAGCCCTATTTCAGTGGCTTCAATTTCTCAGCCAGCCACGGGATGGGGAAACCAATCAAGGGGGTGACCATTTCATGGGCTCCCGGTGCTATTTATCATCCCCGGACGCTGCACAGCGCCAGGAGAAGGGAGCGACTCCTCCAGCTGCTGTGAGCTCTGAGTCTATTGACCCGCTTTAGGACTCTTTGGAAGAGATGAACTTTTTTTTTCCCGTTCTCCCTTTTTCCAGATCACTGACTCAGCAAATTAGAACAAGAATATAATTTAGCAATACAGCGGTTTTTGAAAGACACAGTCCCCCTCTCCTCATCCCCACCGCCCAAATAGATTTTTTTTTCCCCCTTCACTATTCATTCAGAGCTGATGCTAATTGAAAAATGTAGAACGTGGACTAAGAAAACGGTGGGTTGCCTCTTTGGGACAAGCAGAGGATGGGCAGCGCCCTGGCGCCAGGATGCGCGATCCAGCTGATGTCCGGGTGACTTTTTAGCCTTTGCCAGCTCTGGGGATGCACTCGCCAGCAGGAAGACGCACGCTGGCACAGCTGATGGCGGGATCAGCTCCCGGAAAAATCAAACCCAACTTAAGGACAACATGTGGGGGACCCACGGGTGCGCAGCAAAAGGTGGGCTCTGCCAGAGCTGTGTGCCCACGCACCACCCCTGCACTGCATGCCAGTGCCGCCAGCACCCAGCCCTCACCCATGCCACACCACACCACCAGCAGCTGCCCACAGCCCCGGCTGAACTTCAGACCAACACAACAACCCGAGTCACCGGACTCCTCCTGCGCTCCCCACAGGAATATCCCACCTCCCCTGCAGATTTGGCAAGGTGGCACCCCAACCCAACAGCAGCTTGCCGTGGCTCTCCTCCGAGGCCAAGGGCAACACCCATGGGTGGGCCGTGTGGTGCGCGTTGACAGCCCAGGTACCACCCCAAAGCCTCACACCAGGGGGATCCGGGCATCCCCCCGCTCGGCAGGCGCGGCGGGAGCAGGGGGGCTCCCAGCCTAGTCGGGTGCCGAAGCAGGAGCTTCGCCTGCGGGGACTGCAGCTCGTGTGCCCCCAGGAAATCTGGCTGGTGCCTTATGGCCTCATCCTGACCGCCCCAGACAGATGCTGGCCCAGGGAGACCTGGCACGGCCACAGCACGGGAGACACTGCCCAGTGCGCACTGCAGCTATTTACCACCCAAAAGCAGGGACCTCCACGCTCCTGCTCAGAGCGAAGAGCGAGCTGCGGGGCTGGGCTCCAGCTGCACCACAGCCACAGGTTTCACTGTCACCGATTACCCCCAAGCTCTGCCCCAAAAAGCCATCTCCTGCCTCCTCATCCTCTGACCCAGTTGCTGGGTTAGAAGCCACCCCCAGGCTCGGGAGCTGCAGCCCACCCAGCACAAGGGGTGCCAGCACTGAAACTCCAGCAGAGACCTGCTGCTGCCCCTGCCTGCGAAGGGGAGAGCGAACCCCAGCTCACCCAGGGACCCCAGGGAGATACCCCAGCCCTCCTCCCCAAGCCAATCAACCCCGGTACGTAAGAGAGGGCAGGGACTGGGGGCACTGGGTAGAGCACACATTTCACGGTGAGAACCGTTAATGGAAAAGGGAAAAATAAAAAAGTAAGAAGTACCAGGTGTTTTATTATCTAGGGCAAGATCCGAACCCAGGAGCGCAGCCCGAGGAGGGGTTAGGGTGCCTGAGAGGGGCCGGTTACCTCCAGTGCTGCAGAAGGCTTCTTTTTGAGTTCTTCACATTTTCGGAATTTGCAAATCTGGTGGCCAGTTTTGCGATTCCTACAACTGCTGCACTGCTCGCAGTTTATCCGTCTTCGGCAGGGCGGGCACATGCCGCATCTTTTCCGTTTCTTTTTCCCCGAATTGATGGCAGATGCCAACTCATTCTGCATGGGATACTCTGCCAAGCCAGCCATATGGAGCGCGCTCTCTGCCAGAAACACGCCGGCAGGGGTCATAATGAAAAGGCCTGGGTTGATGGGAAAAGCCCCCAGGTAAGGAAAATCAGAGGGGCCGTTCATTGTCTCTGCAGCTGAGACTGCCTCCATGTCAGAGATACCAGTCCCGTGGTCGCTTGCTAGAGGAAGATGCTCCTGTACCACTCTTTTGAGCATTTCTGTCGACTGAGCAAACTGTTGTAGGGCGGTCTGTCCTTCTGAGGAGATCTCCGACACCCGGTCTAATTTGCTCAGCATACTAGAGATGTTTTTGTGCTTTGAGGTAGAATGACTTTTATCCACAGTCGCTTCGTTGCCATTAGCTAAGGGGTTGCCTTTCTCTGAATGTTCGCTTACCGAGCTGCTGCTACCAAAGGTGGAATACTGGGAGAGTGGACGGGACTTCTTAAGACTTTTGTTCAAAGGTTCACTTATTATTCCACTTTTGTTCCTCCTCTCGGAGTTGACAGGGGGTTGAGAGTCATCTTGATTATTTTTTTCCGTCTCTGGCTTGTTCCCAGTGTCTTGATGGGAGCCCGAATTTGACATGGTGCCCGGAGCACAACAGCAAAATCAAACCCAAAATTTAAAAAAAAAAAAAAAAAAAAAAAAAAAACCCAAACCCAAAAACCCACCCCCAACGCCAAAGCGAAAGACCCCCAAAGCCCTTCTGGTAGCACCAGCCCGCCAGCCACCAGGGAAAGCTCAGATGGGAAAGCTCATCAAGGGGGTGTCTCCTCCAGCGTGGGCTGCAGAGGACTTCAGTCCGATCTCAGTGCAAAGACATACTCTGTGGCTCTGGTACACAACACGCGGCTCTGGAAGTAGAAAAGAAAAGAGAGTCAGCGCTGGCAAGAGCCAACAGGCTTTTCAAAGCGGCTCTTCCTCCCCCTGCCACGAAAGTCTCAGCGCCACGAACAAAGAAACTCCAGGGAACGGACCTCGGTGGAGATCCGTTCCGCTGCTCTTTAAAAGGGTCACCATCCAGACAGAAACGGGGGGTCACTGGGGAAGTCCTGGCCTGGCAGCAATGGCACTCTGCCGCTTAAAGGTTCTCTGTGCCCAGCTCTCCTCCCCCACAGACTGCAGCCCCAGGGAAGTCACGGGGCTCCTCTCCTGCTCCGCTCCAGCGGTGTGCGGCCCCCACGCTGGATGGGACCGCGGGTGCCCGCAGGATGGCCCCGAGCTGGCAGCCGGAGTTGGCCAGAGGGCTACCAGGTCCCCACCCTGCAGGCGCCTGTGTCGCCCGCCGGCCAGGTGCCATGGAAGCAGCAGGGTGCAGGGCTGCACCCCAGCTCCTGCGCCCTCCCCGATGACGCTTCTCACCCAGCTCAGGCTGGGCTGCTCCCCTTCCCCTCCTCCTCCTATTCCTCCTCCTCCTCCTGGACCCTCGTCCCCAGGCCAGCACTGCACGCCAGCACTGGGCAGGGGAAAGAAGACACATGGGGAGCTGCAGTGCCCACCTCCAAACCCCACCAAGAGCTGCAGCATCCACTTCTGAGCCTCGTGGGGAGCCACAACATCCACTCCAGCTCCACACCCCACAGGGAGCTGCAATGTCCACCCCTGAGCCCCTGCAGCATTTTCTTCTAAGCCCCACGGGGAGCTGCAGCACCCACCTCTAAACCCCACGGGCAGCCACGGCATCCACCTCCAAA